CCAGCCCCTCTAGCCGTAGTTCTTTGAGGTATCTCCTTACCGACTTCCACAGTGGTTGCACCAGTCTACAATTCACCAACAGTAGAGAAGGGTTCCTTTTTTCCTATAGCCCTGCTAGCATTTGTTATTGATTTCTTGATAAAAAAAAATACTGTATCTTTAAAATTAGGTAGGCTAACTCTTTAGGTAATGAAACTGAAGCCCAGAGTGGCTAAGTAGCGTGCCCAAGTTCATACAACTGGTAAGTGACAGAACCAGGATTTAACTGGTTTCAGAGCTCTTTTTTTTTTTTTTTTTTTTTTTTTTTTTTTTTTTTTTGTACCAGGGATTGAACTCGAGACCTTGCACTTGCAAAGCAGGTGGCAGAACCACTCCCTGGCCCTAGAGATCTTACTCTTTTTGGTTTTTTGAGACAGGGTCTCACTATGTAGTTAAGACTGACCTGGAGTAGCCCAGGCTGGTCTCGAACTCATAGCGATCCTCCTACCTCAGCCTCCTGAGTGCTGGGATTACAGGCATGTGCCACCACACCAGGCTAAGAGCTCCTACTCTTAATAAACATACTGAAAGAATGAAAAGGGGCTGCCTCTATGATTTTAAATACATAATGCTTTAAAATCATGAATGTGTACCAGTGCATGATATCAGCAATAAGACCAGTGGAAAAAAATGTAAAAGTCCAAAAATAGATCCAAAATACAATAGGGGAATTAAATTTTTTTTTTCTCATTTAACTTTGTATTAATGGATTTTAATGTTCTGCAACAGATTTTTGGTGAAGTTGTTTCCATTAAAAAGTATTAAAAACTAGTATCTTGAATGCCACACACAAAAAAATAAATGGTCCGCAAAACATTCTCCTTTCCTTCTGAAGGTTTTATGATGTATTGCTATCATTAGCCAGTCTTTTATTATTAAACTTAAATGAACATTTGGGAGAAACAGTTCTGAGACTGGCCTTCTGCCACTGATTAAGACTGGAGTAGCAGGTGTCAGGGATAATATTCATTTAGCCTTCTGAGCTTTCTGGGTAGATTTGGTGACCTTGCCCGCTCCAGCAACCTTCTTGTCCACTCCTTTGATGGCACCCACAGCAACTGTCTTGTTTCATATCTCAAACAGCAAAACAACCGAGAAAAGCTGTTGACACACAAATGGCTTGCCTGGAACCATGTCAATGATGGCAGCATCACCAGATTTTAAGAATTTATGGCCATCTTCCAGCTTCTTACCAGACTGGCAACCAGACAAGACTGAAACTTGGCAAACTTAAAAGCTACATGAGCTGTGTGGCAATCCAGTACAGGGGCATAGTCAACACTGATCTGGCTTGGAAGGTTCAGAATAATCACCTGAGTAGTAAACCTGGCTGCTTACATTGGGTCATTTTTGCTGTTAACCAGCACCATTGCCACAACGAACATCTTGACACATTCTTGACATTGAAGCTCGTATTGTTTTCAGGAAGAGATTCACGGTGAATTTCAACAGACTTGACTTCAGTTGTGACCTTGACTGGAATGAAGGTGACCACCATGCCAGGTTTGAGAACACGTCTTTACTTGGCCTGCAGGGATGTTATCAATACCACTGATTTTGTAGCCACCCTGGAAAGGCAGCCACAGAAGCTTATCAGTTGGGCGAGTGGGTGGTAGGGTGCAATCCAAAGCTTCCACTGGCATTGCCATCTTTACACGTATCCTTCCTTTGAACCAAGGCATGTTAGCACTTGGCTACAGCACATTGTCACCATTCCAACCAGAAATTGGCACAAAAGCTACTGTAGCCAATTTTCTTAATGTAGGTGCTGACTTTCTTAACAATTTCCTCGTATCTCCTGGTGGTAGGGTAGCCCAGTGGAATCCATTTTGTTAACATCAATAATTAGTTGTTTTACACCATGTGTAAACCAGAAGGGCACACCCATGGGCCTGCCCCTTGGAGAAACCAACTTTGAATTCACCAACACCAGCAGCAACAATCAGGACAGCACAGTTAGCCTGAGATATGAGGTTCATGATTACATGAGTAATCGTGTTTTATAAAGTCTGTGTGTCCTGGGGCATTGGTGATAGTCACCTAATACTTGCTGGTCTCAAATTTCCACAGGGAGATGTCAGTGGTGATGCCATGCTCAAGCTCAGCTTTCAGTTTATCCGAGACCCAGGCATACTTGAAGGAAACCTCCATCATAGCAGCTTCCTTCTCAAAATTTTCAGTGGTTCTTTTGTCGACACCGCCACATTTGTAGACCAGATGGCTGGTAGTGGTTAACTTGACCAAATCCATATGTCCGATGATGACAATACTGATATGAGTCTTTTCCTTTCCTGTGTTACATGGAAAAGCACAGTAGGGGAATATGTGAAAAAGGTGACATTTCAAATTAGGAAAAAGAATTTTCAGTAAATGGTAGTGACAGCTCAGTTGCCCCCTGGAAAATGCAAAACTATACCACATGTAATTAATTTCAAGATGAAGCAAGCTTTTGAATATTACTTGGTCTCAAGTTTCTGGGAAGTCTGAAAAAGTCCCTTAGGGAGAGGGATCAGGTTCTCTTGATTATTTCCATGCTATGACCCAAGAGGCCACTGTCTTCAAGATAAAGAGTCCTTTTAACTTACTTTACTGTCCTCAGCTCTTATCATAGAAAGTGAATAATAAATATTGTGTGAGAATATAAAATGGGGTATGTCCATCATCTAATTCCCTTGTCACTTTGAAAAACAAATACGGGCCGGGGGTTTAGCTCAGCAGTTCAGTGGCCTGCCTCACAAGCGCAAGGACTCGAGTTCAATCCCTGGTACCAAAAAAAAGAAAAGCAAACATGTCTGAGGGTGTAGTTCCGTGGTAGAGTATTTACCTAGCATGTGCAAGGCTCTGTGTTTCATCCCAGCACTGCAAAAAGAAAGAACAGGAAATACCTAATCACGATACTAGAGCAACTAGACATCTATAGAAAAAAAAAGGGGGGGACTTGGTGCACCTAAAAGGCCCACACCTTGTATAAAAAATAGCTCCAAATAGATCACAGACTTAAATATAAACTTATAAAACTTTTAGAAGTTTCAGTGATACCTTGTCTCAGAATAAAAAAGGGGGCTGGAGATAGAGCTAATAGTCTGGCGGTCAATCTTGATACCACTCATATGAATGCACATACACAAAGGCATGAAGACTACAGTGAAATGTCTGCACTGACAGCAAATAAGCATATAAGGTGTTCAACATAATTAGCCATTAAGGAAATGTGAATGCATCTCTTTAGGATATCTGAAATAAGTAAAAACATGACATGTTTATGAAAATGCAGAAAAAATCATTTGTATATTGCTGGTACACCCACACTGGAAAATAATTTAGCTTCTTTAAAAATTAAACATGTAAGGGCCAGGGATTTAGCTCAGTGCTGTACTGCCTGCCTGGCAAGCACAAGTCCTGAGTTTGATTCCTAGTACCCCCCCAAAATACCCCAAAACACCAAACAACTAAACATGCAACTAGCATGTGACCCAGCAGTTGTACTCCTGGGCATTTTGGTGTACACACACATGCACACGTGGCCTGTATAAAATGTTCAAGCGGCTTTATTCATAATAGCACCAAACTGGAAATGATCCCCAAACCCTGCAAATGGTTAAACAAAATGTGGAATATACACAGCGTGGGACCATACTGCACAGAAATGAAAAAGGAACAGAATTCTTCAGCAAACTGGATGACTCTCCAGAGGATTATGCTGAGTGAAAAAAGCAAATCCCAAAAGGTTATACATTGTATGATTCCAGGTACAGACCATTCTTGCAGAGACAAAATCTAGGATCATTAGCTGCTAGGAATGAAGGAGAAAGGGCGTTGAAGTGAATTGGTACAGCTGCAAAAGGACAAATGAATTCTGGTAGTGGTAGGAAGTTCTATACTTTGATTATCAATGTCAATATTTTGGTTGTGATATACTGCAGTTTTGCAAGATGTCATTAAGGGAAACTGGGTACACATGATCTCCCGTACTTTTGGGGCGATATTCAGACAGGCTCTGGCTATGTAGTCCAGACTGGCCTCCAACTCACTGCCATCCTACCTTATAGCTCCTGGAGTGCTGGGATTACAAGTGTGCAACACCACGCCCATCTCTCCCTATACTGCTGCTTACAAAACTGCATGTAAAGGGGCCTATCTCGCAAGCTCAAGGTCCTGAGTTCGATCCCCTGTACGGGGGCGGGGAGGGATCAAGCCGTGGATTCAGGTTTTCTGTGCTCCATACACACTGGCATTCTTTCACAGATCCCTATCTACTAGCATATGCTCTTATCTGAACTGTGCTTCCCTCCCAATTTAACTCCTTTTTGTCCTTCGGATCTGACTGAAGCCTCAAATGGTTAGGACAGCTTTCCCTAACGTCTAAGTCAAATACTCATTAGAGTCCCCATTTGCATGAGTACTTGATAAGTGTGTTTCCCCTCTACACATGTAGTTACACCAAGAACAGACAATCGCAGTCTGGCAGTATCTTTTTTCTTCTTCTTTCAAGGATGGCATTCATTTTCAGTATCCGATTTCAATTCTTATGGTCACCTACATAAGTGAAAGGAAAGAAAATATTGGAACATACAAAATATTGAAGTAATTACATAAAAATATGAATGTCTTGAACAAGCACCCAGGTTATCTGCTCCTTTGAGGATATAGTTTGTCTCTTGATGAAAAAACGTCCTTTCACTAAGATCAAAAGTAGCACAACAGTGGTGTATTAAGTGTGTGAAAAGTTTATTGGTACATTTCAGGTATAATTAAAAGAGCAGTAGGTCCGGGGCTTTAGCTCAGTGATTCCACCGCCTGCCGCGCAAGAAACCGAGTTCCGTCCTCGGCACCATAAATAAATAAATAAATAAATAAATAAGGCGCAATGTTTGAAAGGACGCCCGCCCTACATTGCGCTTCCGGTAGGGCGTGTCGTAAGGCGTCGCGCGTCGTAACACATCACTTCCTCCCGGAAGACATCCCAGGTGAACCGCTCAAAATTCCTGTCACTTCTCACAGCGTATTTTTCTAGACCATGTCCCTGCCGCCCTTCTTCGCTCCGGGTCGTCCGGGCCCGCTACCCCCGCAGCCACCGCCTCCTGCTCCCTTCGGCTGTCCGCCACCGCCGCTGCCCTCCCAGGCTTTCCCTCCGCCCCT